ACACTATAATATAATTTTAAACAATTCATCTTCATTTCTATTCAAGGCTAAGGAGGTAGTGACGAAGAGTAATCGCTCATTTTTTTGCTACATAAATTGCAGCATTGCTTGATTATAAGAGACACAACTGTAAACCTTGGTGTCACAGCTCTCATATAAAAGTACTATAAGGCAAAGCGATCCATCCCCTGAGGTTTAATTGTGCTGTTGAGTGATTTAAAAATTGCACATAATCGCCCAAATTGTGGTTATTGCTCGTTAATCTATGCACTACCAGATTACAGCAAGTAAGTGAGAAGTTTTTGGGATGGTTTGAATCTGGTTACCAAGTCCAGCTATGTATTTACAAGGGATGCACCGATACTAGTATCTATCGGTGCCGATAGAGTATTACAAATACTCCGATGCCTAGACCAATACTTCCTGTATCAGGAAGCCGGGCAGCGCGTCATTACACGCTGCCCAGTTTCTTGATTGGCCGGGAAGCAGCTCCATGCTCTCATCACTTGTGATGAGAGAGCATGGAGTCAACTTCCTGGCCAATCAGGAAGCCGGGCAGCGTGTAATGACGCGCTGCCCGATTGGTCGGGAAGCTGGCCAATCGGGAAGCCGAACGCCGTGTAATAACGCAGCGCCCGGCATTCCGATTGGCCGGGAAGCCGGCTTAGTGCTTCCTCGTCATCTCATGACGGAGCATGGAGCCGGCCTCCCGGTTAATCAGAAAGCCGGGCGCCACGTCATTACACAGCACCCGGCTTCCATGATTGGCCAGCAAGACGGCTCCGACTGGGTACCGGAGGAATGCCGCTCCTGGCTGGATTGGCCCCGGGAATGACAGGCTGGACATGCCGAGGTGAGAGGGGACAGAGATCCGCACTGCAGAGACATGCTGGATCATATGATTATTATGGGGATTCGTATGGGACGGCTCTCTTTGTTAATCGGGAAGCCGGGTGGCGAGTCATTACACGCCACCTGACTTCCTGAATGGGACTTCCGGTACTCGGTAATTGGTAACTGCGAGTACAGGAAAAAAAAGTATCAATACTCGTACTCTGTACCAAAATACCGGTATCGGTGCATCCCTAGTATTCACCGTAGAGCGATCAGAAACTCAACCACCACTCACAGGTTTTCCAACACTGGTCTTATCCATTAGGGAACTTTGGCAGAGACCTTGCAAATAAAACTTGGAAGGGATGACTGGACATGTCTTCAAGGTGGTATACAATAATTGGTATACAATAACTGGCCTGATGTCCCGATTTGCAGGGCCCTTCATATACCTTTTGTGTACTCTAGTTAATAATTGTGTGTTTTATTTTTTTTTAAGCAGATAACTGTCCCCACTTGATGCATATTTTATGCTTTTCACATATTACTCATATTTTTTTCCTGGCTGAACATTGTCACGCAAGAGTTGCATGTCTGTGTGGTGTGTCATGATAGGGTGGTGGCGTTAACGGCGTACAAGCTTGCAGCCAGATATAGCTTAAATATTCCCTGCAAAACAGGTGTTATCCAAAGGCTTGAATATAATCAACGACACATTAATATTTCACTCAATAAAATTCTGTTTCTGTGCTGTTGATTGATGCATTAAAGTAATCCCTTTTTAATATTTGCTTCACTAGTCAATTTTCCTTACTAAGAGAGCCCCTGTGTATACTGTTGCTGGTGGTCTAGTGACTCTAGTCTGCTTCCTTTATCTATAAATGGGGGGAAAAAGGACGGAAAACAAAAGTGATCACGCCTAAAATGATACAATTTATGTTATGTGCTTTTTTTTCAACAAAGTTCAAATGCTTGTACCCTCCCCCCCCTTTTTTTTTTTGTGACACTAAACTCAGGAGTTAAATCTTAATGCATTCAAGTACCTTAACTATTAATAAAAATGTATCTTATTTGTGTATCACTTGGCTGTAGATCCTGAAATCATCTCTGAATTGGTGCTGACACTGTCCTTCCTTCTGGAGGGTGGCTACTTTTGTTCCCCATGGTCCCTGTGTGTGTTGTAAAGTAGCCACCACTCCAAGCTCGCTCCTCTGATGAACTACAATCTCAATACAAATGAGTAAACTGAACGTGAGATTGTAGTCCATCATGGGAGAGAGCTTGGAGTGGTGACTACTTTACAGAAAATGTACACTGTCGCTCAATATCGCTCAATGTACCTCCAAAGCCGCTCGGCACGAAATCACGTGGAAAAACGTGCAATATCCATGTCGCTCAGTGTGAATGGGGGTGTAAGTGTTGAAAATGGCTGATCAGTTGACTTAATTGCCATAGGGGTTATTAAAGGAAAGCAAAGTACAGTAGTCGTCAGCAGCATGGTTTGCACACTATTTCTCTTTTTTGTATGTCTTGCGGATTAAAGTTTAAGGAAGTAACTTTATGGCTTAAGTAAAAAAAAATTCTTTCATTTACGGTCCTGAGTTTTGCGTTTTTTGTTATTACTGTTCAACAGCAAAAAGTTTCCCAGCACACTCACCAGCCAGCATGCAAAAAAACGTGCCCTAACCACTAAGGTTAAAAAGAGAGGTTTAGATGCACACCTTCTGCAGAATATGTGAGGGTGGCTCTTTACGACATAATTTAATTTTGCCACTTTACAGATCACTGGTTCGGCCTCACCTGGAGTATGCGGTCCAGTTTTGGTCACCAGTCCACAGAAAGGATGTCCTTGAGCTGGAGAGAGTCTGGCGGACGGCAACCAAACTGATCAGGGGAATGGAGGACCAGAGCTATGAGCAGGGGTGTGGAAATTTTTTAAAAAACTACTTGTCCAAGGGCTAAATCGGGGGCCGAATCTACTTGTCCTTCATGACAATCTACTTGTCCCAATACAAAAAATTGTTTTAATCAAAACTAAGGATGCACTAATACCGGTTTTTCGGTATCGAGTACAAGTACCGATTTTTTTTTGCTTTCGAATCTAGCTGACACTGAATACTAATACCGGTGCTTCCGCTGGCATGGAGCCGGCTTCCCTGGTAATCAGGAAACTGGGAAGCAGGTAATGACATCCCACCCAGGTTCCTGATTGCCACGGAAGCCGGTTCCATGTTGTTTGGCCTGCTTGATTGCGATTGGCCGGGAAATCTGCTTCCCGGTCAATCAGGAAGCCGGGTGGCGAGTAATGACATGATTGGCCAGGAAGCTGGCTTTCCAGCCAATTAGCAAGGAGCCGGCTTCCCGGACCAATCAGAAAACCAGGAGGCAGGTCATTACTTGCCGCACGGCTTCCTGATTGCACGGGAAGCTGGCTCCATGTTCCCCTACGGCACTGCCAGTCAGAGGAAATTTTTATCTGGCCGTAAGTTCCAATATCGGGGAAGGTATCGGAGCATTTGGGTGAGTACGAGTACTTGCCCAAATACTCGGTATCGGCACTGATACTAGTATCGGTGCACCCCTAATCAAAACATATTTTACTGTGCTAAATAGCGCTTCTCACTGGTCAGCGCAGTCATCTGACCACGTTGACCAATGAGTGCTTGCAATTTGCGAGCGAAATTCAAAATGCATAGGGGAGGACTGCGCTGGACAGCAGTACGGGGGACAGATAGTACACCCATACTGGCGGAGGGGAGGGATTGTTCGCCGAAAGGTAAGTATAGCCAGGGGGGTGGCGGTTTGGGAGAGACAGGGCCAGATTTCATCGGGTAATTTTTATTTTTCCATATTACCTGGGAAAATGAACTTACCCTTTAATGCACATTGTGTGTGTGTGTAAGAGAATTCTGGCTACCACCATGGAATGGCAGCTGCAATCTCAAAGCACATGCAGAATGTCCTACGCATGCGTTTATTTGCATGCAGATGGCGGGGGCAGCAGGGTTTCATTTTTATTTTATTTTTTTACTTTTTATTTTTTACTTTTTTATTTTTTACTTTTTCATTTTTTTTAATCTTTTTATATATTTTATTAACTTTTTGAATTTTCTTTAACTTTTTTATTTACTTTTTCCCCTTTTAATGTTCTTCCTATTACATAGGAGATTAAAATCCCTTATGTGATAGTTTGGAGGTGACAGGTTCTCTTTATGGAACCTGCCCTCCAACACGGAACTGCTGTTCTGTGTAGTTCCTGACAGCCGAGACAGGTGGCGCTGTGATTACAGCGCCACGGTCTCAGAGAACACACAGAGAGCCCGTAGAGCAGATGTTTTTCGTCTGCTCTATGGGCTCTATGGCTGAGCCGTTGTGCCTTAGTTTTCGGGGTCCCCGGGAGAGCGGGCGACCCCGAAAACTACGGCGGGGGGTGCGAGCAGAAACGATCGCCGCTGCTCAAATTAATACAAGTGGTCTGATCAGACCCCTTGTATTAAACGAGCGGCGGCGGCTCCACAATGTACATTCAGCTCTGCTTGTCCGGAGCCGGGCTGAATGTACTTTAAAACTACTCGCCCGGCGCCCGAAACTGCATGTCCCGGGCGTCGGGCGATAGGAATTCCACACCCCTGTATGAGACAAGGCTACTAAATTTAAACATGTTACGTTGGAAGTAAGGAGATTAAGGGGGGACATGATTTTCATGTACAAGATGTTCAATGGTGACAGCAACATTAGCAACAAACGCTTTACGTAACAAAAACTAGAGGCCACCACCTAAAATTGGTGGGAAAAAAATTCCAGCATAAGGGGCGTCAGGGGTTCTTTTCAGATAGAGCGGTTAGGGTCTGGAACTCGATGCCGCAAGCAATGATTTCAGCCAGAGTGTGGAATCATTCAAGAAGCTTTTGAACGATTTCCTGCGAGACCGTAATATACAGAGGTACAGGTACTCTTAAAAAAAAAAAAAAATATCAGCAATAGGTTAGACTTGATGGACTTATGTCTTTATTCAACCTCAAATACTATTTAATAATTTAAAAGTAAAGTTGTCCCTTTTTTTAAGTCTGATTTTTAAATGATTTATTTTGATATTAATTTGTTTTGCCAATAGTAAATAAAATATGTGGCCATACTTGATTTTTTGTTTTTCTTCTGTTCTTTAGATGAGCGGATCAGAACACAGCTGTTCTCCTAGAGTTTCACTACGCCTATAAACATCCTGACAAACTCCCGTGAAGAGACTTGCAGTGGCTGCACTTCTGACAGTGAGATGAGTTATCTTGTCATGTGTGAAGGATGGCAGTCACCTGGACCTCAACGTGGAATCTGCTACAGAGCTGACATACCGAATTCTCAAGGACATTGAACCACAGATAGATCTGCTCTGCGTTTTAATAGTAGCGACATAAGAACAGCAAACAAACGCAAACTTAATTTATTTATTTTTTAACTACAAAAAAAATCTTGCTGCTGCTTAGTTTACAGGTAATAGACTAAAGCTATGAAACAAAATAATGAAACGGGAGTATTTTAATCCAAGGCATCATAGAAAACTCACAATAAGTGTCTTCAAGGTATAGTTCAACGGTTTCAAAATACCAGTTACCTAATATGGATCTTTCTGCACAAAATGTTCTTTTTCTGAAATCTCTACCAAAGAAAACTGTAGTTTCAACTAGTATTTATTTAACAATGGTTTTAGCGAATTTTTTTTTTTTCAGATTGTTTTTAAATCTTAATGTGAACTTCATGTATTTACCAATGTACATGATCTTTTTTCAGGCTCTGTATTGGTTGATTTTATCCCAAACTTAGTAAAAACTATTTTATTTTTAAAATTTTGTGTTGTCTTTACTGTTTTGCAATGCTATTTTATTTCAGCTTGCCTGCTCTGTAAAAATTAAAAGGTATATTGTAGTCAAATGAGAATTTTGCATTGAAATTGAAAAAAGGGCAGCAGCCTGGCATTCGCCTTGCACAGCCAGCCCCCAAACCACAACAATTGGTGGTAATCCCGAATGATCCTACATGAACATAGCCAGTATATTTTTAGTTAAAGCACTGCAAAAAATTGACACAAAATTTAAAGTCAGAATCCTAAACAGAAATCTGAGTTTTAAACACATTTAAACATTTTTTTTTTTTAGCATTGCACCAGGGCTCCTTCTGTACAATGGTCAAGGGGTGGTGAATCCCATTTAAATTGTATCTGGAAGCTTGTGAAGCACCAATTTTGCAGTCTGATGTAAAGGATAGGGAACAATCCAAAGGTACTAGCAAAAAGCATAATAAAACATAACCGGGCACATAGACCTAAGTGTAGTATCAACACATTATAATACATTAAAAAATAATGTACTTGCATGCTATTGGAGACAAAGTGCCTGTCGCACTACAGGGAGAGTCCAGTGGAGTTAGTGTTTGCAGTCCTCTGCAGTAGGAATCCCTGTGCAGGGCTCAGGGGAAGGTAAGCATGCACTATGGTCTATCCCAGCGGTGGCGAACCTAATGGCACGCGTGCCACAAAGGGCACGCAGAGGCCCCTCGAGTGGCACACGAGCCGAGGCAGGGGTGTTGAATTCGTATTCCATCTCTGCTATCACAGCAGAGCCAGCACAATACTGTACTCAAACTCCTGTATTGGACGAGACAGGTTTAATAAACGAGACCTATCACCTCCAAATGTTATCACACATGGGCTTGTTAGATTAAAAAAATAAAAAGTGATAAAAGTAAAAAATTATAAAATCAATAAAAATTATAAAAAATACAGATAAAGATAGTAAGATAAATAAAAATGTTAAAAAGAAAATAAAAAAAATGTTAAATCGTTTAAATATGTGTGTTTCCCTTTTTTGCATAAGGCAGTGATGCTGAACGTTTTTTAAACCCCAGTAACCAAACTAAAACACAATATCAAATTTATTTTCAGTGTTGGCACTTTGGGGTAAATAAATTAATTTTGCTTTGCAGTTTGGGCACTCTGGCTCAAAAACATTTGCCATCACTGGTCTATCCCATCATCAGGATCAGAAGACAATCTGGGGAGCTATTGGTATCCGATAACTGCAAGTTTAATGAGTGTATAGGCGTGTACAACTTTGTTGGTACCCTTCCATCAAAGTTTTCTCTGAAATGACTTGAAACTAACCAACGTGTTGGAGTTGGTAATCTGATGGCTAATAATATTGGGGATAACAAACTTTGGGACAGGATGGGAAAACATTGAGCAGGTTTTCCCATCTTGTCCCAAAGTTTATCCCCAACATTTTTAGCCATCAGATTACCGACTCTCGTATTGCACCCTCCACTTTCCATTTACATAAACACTGGGACTAGACATTTTCTGTTCATATATGGTTGATTCCGTTGCCTAAGGGTGGTCAGGTTGTATGTTGATATTATAGGTCTAATGGCTGGCTATAACATTTAGCAATGTATTCATTACTGCCTTCAATTTAAGGAGGAGTTTTACACAATGTTCATGGGATTTGCAGCCTAATTCCTTTTATTGAGCTGATAACTTCTACATAAACATGATATTGTATATGGTTTAATTTAGGCACCTCTCTCCCAGTGGCACAGTGACAGAAAAACACATTGTACATATATAAGATTCTCTCTTTGAAAAAAAAAAAAAAAATCTCCCTCTACAAACAATTAATCGGAATTAAACTATCCATAGTGAGTCAAATGTTGAGCTGATACAAGTGTAAATGATTTTGTAAAATCATGGTGCAATTTGTACATGGTAAAATGCAGTTTGAAAACTTGTGCAACAACTTCCTTTCTGTTTCAAATGAGGAAAAAGTAAATGCAGATCAGTAAACCTTTTCTACGTGGGTTCAATTCCCATTGCCTGAAAGGTCAACTCTAAGTACTCATTCACAGGCGTGCACGCCCTTGCAGAGACCCGATCCCAGGAGGGACAGGTGCTGCGTGTAATTGCGTGCAGCAGCTTGTTACCTCCCTATGGGAAGATGCGGTTACACGCAGACCTGAACCTGCACATTCGTAAATAAGCCCTAACCGAGCAGTGGAAACACATATATAGCAACTGCTGTACCTGTCGACGGGTTTGTAATGTGCTGCACATAATTCTGTGATCTGTCCAACTCCAATGTGTTCCAGAACTGCGCAGTAAGTTGCAGCCTGCATTTTATGACTTCTAAGATACAAGTGAACTAAAAGATGGAAGAGAACAAATGCTGCTTTGAAGTCTATGTGTAGCTTTTCAGTTTTGGATAGAGAACGATTAAAAACCCCTACCAGGTTATTTTTGTTTGTCATCTGTGCATTGCACCACCACGCACAGTGTCATGTACATTGTTGTGCGAGAAAATACAGACTGCTGCACTTTTTTCATGCCCTGAATTGCATTGTAGCTCATTCATTTTGAATGTGTGAGCGCAGGAAAACACACATGATGTAGCACACTGTGTTGTAGTGTGAATGGGCCCTTACCCATTTCTATGGAGCATCTCCCTTAAGAAAGATGCACCACCAGTGAGCGAGTGACACCACAGAAGGTGAGAAGTTTACTCACCAGCAATTGCTAGGAGAGCAATCAGTAACAGGAAGGCTAGTGTGCTTAGGGCCTTAAAGTGTATTTCCACTTTTGAAGCCAAATGGGCATAACACCACTTTTATATTTGTCATGGTTCTCAGTCATATATCATTTTGTTTTTACATTGCTGCATAAAACATGCACAATGCTGAAAGAACAGTCTTTCTCTGGGCTGAATTTTCTTCTGTAATGCAAGGTGGGTAATGTGTATGATAATTAACCCTGTCTGTACTGTGCAGGGAGATTTCATTATCAGTTGTGCTAACAAAGGGTTAAATATCTAGAAACTTGGCTTATTTCATTGTATGTTAATTAGGGGGAGCCCTGTCTGTCCCAAGTCTTTCTATTAGGGCAAAGTTTCCTGACACAGAGAGGAGTTTGCAAAGGCCTGCTAATAAGAGGGGATTTTGCTCAATTTTGACTGCAAAAGTGGAAATACATTTTAAACCTTGTCCCAAGTGCTTCAAGCTTTGCTACTTCTTCTCTTTCTATTGGAGGGGTTAGTTGTTTATAATACTTATATAGTATGCAAAATAATAAACTAGCCAAACCCTCCCAATTGTAATTAAAGTATTTCCTGTCATAATGTCCACATTATATGTGAACATTTTGTATACACTGTGAAGAAGAAAAAAAAAATTATGTGTTTTTTTCCATCCACAAGATAGCAGAACTTTGTGTCGGGCATCTCTCCTGTCTGCCTGACTATACATGGAGTCACATGGTCAGCCCCGTCCAATAAGGGCTCCAGAAAGGCTTGGTGTGTGTGAGAGGAGCGGGGGTCTCCATGTTTTGGCGGGTCTCCATGTTCTGTCTTTTCATGGCAGTGAATGGCCGTCCCAAACTACATTTGGCAGGAGGCGGCCATGTCAGGTTGGTATTCAGGGAAGCCTGTCAGGCCTCTTACAATACAAAGATACTTTTGCTGAAGTATTTTTTTTACATGTGAGACTGGAAAATACTTCTATGCAATAAGAAACCCTCTTTAACTCTATGTGCATTTGTTTGAGAGCTCTCACAAGCGTGCTGCTTGAGGAATTTTACAAAAAAAGTTTTAAAAAATTGGGGTTTTTTATGCAACGGTGGTGGTATACGCACACAATGACCCGGGCCTTCGGTCATTCAGAATCAACTACGCGTCCTCAGCCACCTCATGATTGACTTATTCAGGGCCGACATGTCAACATGAACAATGTGTAATCAGCGGGTGCCTTTGGCTTCACATTGTTGATATTGACACACCAGCCCTGAGCAGCGGTGGCGGCCGATAAAAAAAACAAGTGTCCCCATTTTGAAATTTTGCCATCCCTTTCTGTATCTGTGACAACGGTCAGCAGCACAAATAGTGGGGGTGGATCTACCTAACTAGGACACAGGGCTCAATTCAGTAGTCTATGGGGGGGGGGGATTTATCAAAACTGGAGCAGACCGAATTCAGAAGCAGTTGCCCACAGTAACTGATCAGCTTTTATATTTCATTTTCAAAGCTCAACTGAACAAACTGAAGAGAGAAGCTGATTGGTTGCCATGGGCAACTGCTCCAGATTCTGTCTCCTCCAGTTTTGATAAGTTCCCCCCTCTTATTTACTGAATTAGATATTTCTTCAAAACACGAGATGTTTATCTTCTATTTTAGGTGTTATTTTTTCACCTTTTATATATTTATTTATTTTGTTCCCAGATAAAAAAAGGCACATGGTTGCAGTCAATTACACCTATAACATCGAAACAAAACAACCAAGGTGTAAAACAACACTTTTATTTGGTGCCATTCCCTCCTTCACGACAGCATTCTTCTCTGTATCCTCCTTTTCCCCCTCATTCATACTAGAAAAGGACGGCACGTACAGCTCCGTGCTGCGTGAACTCCCGGGAAGGACAGGTGCT